GGGAGTCTGCTGCCTTCACCACCACGCCACCTGCCAGCCCCATATTTATTATTATTTTTAAGTTTTTTAAGTTTTGTTATAGGATACATGCTCACTGGAGAGAGACGGAGAGAAAGAGAGAGAAGGAAAGTGAGAAAGGTCCAGGCCCAAGACTTGAACCGTGATCATCCATGTGGGAGTCCAGTGCCTTGACCACCATGCCACCTGCTGGCCCCCTCAAGGACCCTGTTAAAGAAACAGGCTCATGCAACTTTAAGATCGGGTAGTGCATTCCCTGCGGCCGTGATCAAACCTGGTTATTTTGAGAGCGGGAGAGGAAAACTGCGTCCGAGCCAGGGGGCCTGAGAATGCCAAGCCCTTGAGTCACGGGCTATTACGAGCACTTCACCGGGCTCCGTGAAAAACAAGTGAATGTGCGGCAAGCCCGAGCCCCTGGTCTCATTAAGGAGCCCACAGAAATCCCCAGGGCGGAAGCGAGCTGCGATGCAGCCCCTGGCCCCGCTCCAGGCCCTAATGAACCCCCGCTCGCAAGCAGACCAAGGCAGGGCTCCATGTGGGACACAGCATCCTAACGAGACGCGGCTGCTATTCAGCACCGAGGGCACCATGCCACCCCGTGTCCACCCCACAAATGAGGACAGCGTGGGGGGGGAGGGGGATGCTTCCAGAAGGGGGCCTGCCCTGCCTAGGAGCCGGCTGTGGTCCTGGGCTCTGCAGTAGTTACACAGATAAAGACTGGTGAACGGGGTCGATGGGTGGCGTGGTGGTGAAGGCGCTGGACCTCCACAGGGGTAACAGCAGTTGGAGTCCCAGGCTCAGCGACTTGAAAATCATGCTGGGTGTGTGTGTATGCATGCCCAGGATCGCAGGAGGAGAAGGGATTGCCGTGTAGCCATTCCCCCCACAGACTGATTTCTCATTCCCTCTCCCTCTCCCTCTCCCTCTCTCTCTCTCTCTCTCTCTCTCAAATGTACATGCTCTATGGCTAAAACCCTAAACCAAAGAACACAAAGTCCAGTGGAGAACTACGAGAGGAGAAGAGTGGTGGGCGACCAAGCTCTGCCAAAGGTGCTTTCTCCCTCATGCAACCCCTGGCATTAAAGAAGGACAGTGGGGGGGACCAG